TCTTGCTCAATTCCTGTTGGGGGATTGTCAAAATTATGGTCCCTTTTTGGGTCCCCTAAATTAGGCCCCGTATTAGGCCCCGTATTATAATAGGGACCCAAAAAGGGACCATAATTTTGACAATCCCCCTGTTCTGTTCTTCTTATTCAATTTCTATGATCCTATGTTGTCTTGTGCTATAACTCGTGGTCTTACATTATGTCATACGGTCTTGAAACATGACAGATGCCTGCATGCAGCTGTAGCTAAGGTGATCTGGGCAATTTAAAGCGACCTCACCCGACCTCACCCTAAATGGTGGTCTATACAAGAAATGTACCAAAGTGGCCTTAAATTGGGCGTTGAAATTATTCTAAATTAATACCCTATCTAACCCGTTACAGTAGTAGTTTCCATGTTCTTTTCCGTGATCCTTCTTGGGAATTGAAAGTATTACCCTGGATGATGCCAGGATGGTCGCAAGTGCAGCCGCCGAACTGGACGCCCAGGAATGGTATCAGCCTGCAGTCCTGATCCAGGCGCCTGTTTCATTGGGCTTTGGGTTTAGGGTTTAGGGGCTTAGGGCTTAGGGTTTAGGGCTTAGGGCTTAGGGTTTAGGGTTTAGGGTACTATTTTAAGCTGCCGGAGAAGATCTTGCAGTAAAGTATATGATAGTATGTCATAGCATTTGAGAGTATACTAGTGTGTGCATAACGTCTTCCTATTGATGTATGTTTTCGTAGATGGTAGGTGCCCCGAATAAGGGGACCCGAATATAGACAATAACATACTATGGTCCTTATTATGGTGACCCCCAAAAAGGTACCCCTAATTTTGGGAAACCCACATATGTTGTATCAAATTGTAACGTGAGCTTTCTGGTGGCTAGTAGGCAATTAAGGAGTGGATCTCTCTGTAGCGGCGCCTATATAGGGTTTGCTTGCTATGGTCCCTGCATCCTTTTCCCTTACTCCCTACTTATTACCAGCAAGCTCACAATGAATGGAGTTTACCACAACACGCTATAACACAATGTAGTAGAACATCTGAGAACATACGATAAGATGTTATAGTACACCGTGACATATTACAATAGACTATAGCATACTAAAACGTACAACAATGTACTGTAGCATGTGTTCATAGACCGTAACAAACCATAGCTTACAGCAATACCAAGTACTGCATATATAGTAGTTTCCCTACATAGGGGGACCCCAATATACCTCCAAAAACTACAATCTTTAATATAGGGACCCTCGAAATGGTACCCCTAATTCTGGGAAACCCGTTTAACGTAGCACTATAGTCCCCCTTGAGTAGATAGAATATGGGGTATATGGGGATCTTATTATAATATACCCAAAGCCATATTCTATCTATTTAAGGGGGACTATACATATTTCTGGTTCCCTACCTGCCAGGAAGGCCTACTCGGCGTGGAGGGCTCCAATCGAATTGCCAAAATGGCATCAATCGACTTTCCTGAAAGCAGCAGCGAGCAGTTTCAGGCTTGGCCCTGATCCTTTTTTTGCTGTTCTGTGGTTGCCGCGGAGGAACTTAGATTAAGTTACCATTACAAGGAAACCCCACTATATGCTAGATGGTAGTTTCCCTATATAGGGAGACCCCACTCCATACCAAAAAACGAACTATACTGCTACTTATGATGGCTAGCCCCGAAAAGGCACCCCCAATTTTGGGAAACCCCAGATATGTGATTATGGTAACATAGTTTAAGCTCCTACCCAGCAATCCCATTTGAGTTATCCCTGCCCCTAAGCCCGAAACCCTTGATGCGAAAACCTGCTTCTTGGACAGGATGGCCTTGCAGGCATAGATTTTGCGATGTGGAAGCTTGCAGAGGCGGATTTCTATAGGGTTTAGGGTTTTGGGTTCAGGGTGTAGGGTTTGGGGTTTGGGGTTGAGCATTTTGGTCATACCATAATGGAGAAAAATGGGAGCGAACATGGACAATAATGAGGAATGTTGGGGTAGTGCAGGGATGTGAGATTTAGTGCCGGCAGAGGCATACTACGAAACACTAGTCTAATCTATACGTTTCAAACAGAGTATCATGGGATAATCTTTCTACAAGCGTGCTAATAAAGAAATATGGCATGTTAGCCGGCTAAAACTTGGATTTTCTTGGATGTTAACGGGAGTTTCTCAGAACATCTCTATATCCGTAATAGGACTTCAGAATACCCTGTAATCCCTGTATATCCCTGAGGTCCCTAAGTGCCCCTAAACCTACACTCTAAATCCTCAATCCCAAAGCGGCCAGGCTGTCGGCCCCTTCCAAGATGAGCTCGGCTTTCGATGCTGTGGTCGCAGCGTGGGGTTCCTGCATCAGGCGTGGACTTGGAGACAAAGAGGGTTTAGGGTTTTGGGTAGGGTTTAGGGATTAGGGTTTGAGGTTTAGGGTTTAGGGTTTCTCAGTGAGGGGTGCGCTGGTGCTGGAAGCACGCAGGCGCGCACCCTGACCTGCATCAGCTCACCCCCGCTGTCGCTCCACCCTTGCCTCGACCTTAACGGGTTGTTTAGGGTTCTCTCGAACTCTGATCGCGCTCCTGTCTTCTTATTTGTTTTTTGTACTTGCCTAGGCCAGGCGTTTGCAAGTTTGGGCTGGGTCTGGCTGGAGGCTTCTTGTGTTTATTGAGATTGAGCCTTGCCTGAAGGCCTTCGAGCCGACCTGTCCAGACTAGACGGGTGCAAGGTTTGGGTTTGGGTCCGGCTCGGTGCTGGGAGGCCCTGCAAGGCCTCATAGGGCCTGGGAGGCCGAGCTGCCTGTGGGACTGGGAGCTCCGTTGCCAGCCGGAGGGCGTTTGGCTCCAGAGCTACCTCGCCTGCCGGTTTGGGTGCGTTCGCCTTGCTCGACGGCCCCAGGCTCACTCAGTTTAGGGATTAGGGTTTAGGGTTTGGGGATTAGGGTTTGGGGATCAGGGTTTTGGGGTTCAGGGATGAGTGTTAAGGGTTTAGGGACTAAGGATTCGGGTTTAGGGTCAGGGCTCCCCTCTGAAAGGGGTTGTATAGGGAGAGAGGGATATGAAAAGGAATTGAACAGGTATATGAGGGTAAAGGGGGGGAATTAAACCAATCCCCCGAATGATGAAGCCCTAGTAACTGAAAAGAATTAGCGGCAATTATCTGGGTTCCTGTAGATCTATAAGGGAAAGTACAGGGGTGGTCGTTTTAGGAAGAAGAATTTTGATTGCCATATTAAGAGCGCTCTCAGTTCTGAAGATACCCATACCTTAAGCCCTGGATCCTAAACCTTAAGTCCCGAACCCTAAAGCCTGAACCCTAAGCCCTGCATCCTAACCTTCAGCTTTAAACCCCAAACCCTAAACCTTACACCTTGAGCCCGACACAGTGTTTCGGAAGGCTAGCGATCCCGATCTCGAAGAAGCAGAGCTTACAGACCAAGAAGCCAGCGACTGGCCCCTATGCTGCATGTGAGTGGTATTTTAGTTGGTTTGGGAGTTTAGGGTAGGGTTTAGGGTTTAGGTTTAGGGCATATTACAGTCCCCAATATGGGGTTATAGGGGGAGATGTAACTCCAATCATGGAGGGCCGAAGGGAAAAGAACATGGAACATTAAATTATGTGGTTTTTGTTTGGTGGTATTTATTCAGGTGCACTCGTGCCCTACAGGCCCGAATATAGAATTAGATCAATATCCTCTTTTTGGCTATTTCATTCTATAAGAAGACTAGCATTTTGCTTGGTTCAACCAGGCAACCCATGCGAGTAGTTCTAGAAGTGGATCCACCCTAAACCCTAAAACCCTAAAACCTAAGCCCCTTTGGGTCTCCCTTCAAAAAGTTTGTGCCTTAAGAGTGGGATGTAGGTGTCTCCCCCGTAGGACTCTATTATTTTCGGCCGTTGTCGAGGGCATCCACGAATACAATGGGTAAAGGGTTTCAGGTATAGTATCCCCTTATAGTGGAGAATCAAATGGAAAAGAAAACGGAACATGAAATGGAAACTGGGGGAATATAGGGATTTAAGGAACCCCAAGTAACTCCCCTTTGCTTCTTGGAAAGCACTTTCTGTAACCTTTGACTGACAGATGCCCCTGAACCCTAAACCCTAAACCGCTGAAATGGTGACCGAGGAGCGCCATTTTTACGAGCAGAAAGATCCTGATCATGGTATGCTTAGGTGGCGGCCACAGACTTGATTGGCAGTATATGATGAGATGAAGAAGGATACATTAACAATATAACGATACCTAGCAGTAACAATAATTGTCATAAACAAGGATAATCACGATTCCTAAAAGCAACAATAGTAATGATGGTGAAAAAAGTCATAGCAGCATGAGGATTCGCTTTGGTCTGAGGCCCTGGCAAGGGAACTCTCGAGATGCAGCCGTACGATGATGAGTCAAAACCTCGATGACCTTGTTCCTACTGCAGGGGTTTGAAGGGATATATAATATAATGACACTGTAGGGTTGCATCGGGGTTATATACGGATTGTACATGGATAATGGACAAGAACATGGAAACTACAATTTACGGTCTAGGGTTTAGGGACTATGAGCTCAACTGCGGAGAATCAAATGGACCGCAGAACATGGAAAACGAAATAGAACGTGGTTTGCAGGTTTTAGGGCTGGGCAAGAATGCACTCAATTCAAAATTATTTTTATAACCTATATCTCCCGATAGCTCCTATGATAGATATCGTGACAATGCTGGTGTTCCTACTGCACCTACACTAGACCCAAAACCCTTCCGCACCTGTGAAGCCGAGGGCAAATGTCTCCGAGATCACCACCGTTCCTGGTCTCGTGGCACCAGCCCCAGCATTGTTTCTGCCACTGCATGTGAGGCATGGTTTTATTCGGTCTTTGGTGGGTGTATAGAGGCTCTCTTAGGAATAGTAGTGAAGGTACATGTTTTGGGGGACGAAAATCCTACCCTGCATGAGCTTCTTCGACAGTTTCCGTTTTTCGCAGGTCGCTCTCCGCACCGATCAGCTTTCCTTCAAGTTCTTCTGCAGAGGAAGGGAGGCGGGTATTTGCCGGTCTTGTGTTGGCAAGGACAGTTGTCGTACGATGGGGCGCCCTGCGCTAGGCCACGCATGTGGCAACCTCCTTCATGCTCCAGAATGACATCTTGCGAATGCACAGAAACAAGCCACGCTGGCCTGTTTCGCACAACCTTTCCTCTTCTTGGGCCATTATTACCATTGTTATGACTAGTACTATTATTACCATTAGCACCGCTGTATTGCTGGAGGTTGGAGGCACATCTCACTCCACCTGCCCAAGAATTGGATCAGTGGATTGACCAGCGCCTGCGGGCGGAGCTGGCGGTTTAGGGCTTCGGGCGTGAAGGGATATTGAAGAGTAATAAGAATGTGGGGCTATAAGGGGGCTATACAGGGATAACTATATAGGGATACTGGAAAAGAAAATGGAAACTGTTCATATTCCCTAAGCTCTAAACCCCCAAACCCTATACCCTAAATACTCTAGTCGTTTCCATGCTGGGTTCTATAGTATACCCTAAACCCTAAACCCTAAACCCTAAATCCTAAACCCTAAATCCTAAACCCTAAACCCCTGGCCAGGAGATTAAGGAGATGGAGCCTGAGGAGCCAACAGAAGATTGGACTGCAAAGGGCGATGTGCCCAGGACGGGGACGATGCTGCTTTGGGGTTTGGGGTTTAGGGTTTAGGGATTTAGGGTTTAGGGATTTAGGGTTTAGGGTTTGGGGTTTAGGGTTTAGGGTTTAGGTTCAGGGGATTTAGTGAATAGGTTAATAAACTTCCCAGGTCCCCCTGACCCTGTAAGTGGCAGTGGGAACCCTCGCTCCCTCAACTCTGCCAGGCATGCTTCGCATGATAGTAAAGATAGTAGTAGTAATAATCTTAGTCGTAATAGTAGTAATACTAATGGTATGAATAAAAGCAAAATAGTAGTACTAGTAAGCATAAAGTAATAAGAGTAACAATATTAGTACCAATAGCTATACTAGTACTACTACTTATATTATTACTAATACTTCTACTAGTACGAATATAGTATTAACAAAACATATTAGTGTTGCTAATATTAAAATCATATTCATACTACTATTCCTATTCCTAATAATACTAATAGCCATCATGATAGATAATACTAGTAATAGTAGTATTACTCATATTAATAATGTTGCAGGAACTTCATCCACGCCGCCAACCGAACCTGGTTTAAGCGACAGACCACCGTTTGCAGGGGTGCTGCAGCCAGGCAGGGACGAAAACCACTTGGTGGTTGTATAGGGGTTGTATATGGATATATAGTGTTTAGGGTTCCCCATAGTTGGGGGTATCATTGTGGGGGTCCCCAAAACAAGGATCAAAGTATTTTGAGGTCTACCCCTAAACCCTAAACCCTATTTTCGGAAACTACCACTTAGCTGCGGAAATGTTTTATCAGCCACTTGCAGGTTGCCAGTCACCTGGGAGCCAGAGGTATTCTTCCTGGGCTTGACAGCAGGCCCAGCTGCCCGACAATGCACGCGGTTTTTGGGTTTAGGGTTAAGGGTTTAGGGTTTAAGGCTTGGGGTTTAGGGCTTAGGGTTTAGGGTTACTTTCAAAAAAGTGCCGTGGTGCAAGGAGCTGACACAGTCATTGAAGTCCCAATCATGCGATGGGAGCATGACACAGTGTGCGTGCCTGAGGCTGCTGGAACATCTACATGAGCTGTAGTCTATGCTCCTTAGAGGGGGTTACTCAGGGGACTATGTAGGGCTCCTATTATAGGCCGTATTAGGGGGGATGCTGGGAGTTTAGATTATAGCTCACATGTGAGATGTCCTCTTGCTCATTGTTATTGTTTCTTCTTTCTCGACACCGCTGAGGTATGACCCTTCCCCTGATGCTTGGAAGAAGGATCCGCCCAAGACAAATTGCAGGTCCGGTGACGCTTCCTGGATACTCACGTGGGTAGTAGTTTATTTGGGGATATTCTGGTGCCCAATATAAGCTAAGATTATATCCCTCTTTAGGGTATAGCATCTTATATAAGCAAGATAATCCTACTAGGTTCAACCACCAACACATAACTCACGTGCGCAGCGTCACGCAGCAGCGTCCAATTTTTGGTAAGCCATGGCCCCTCTGTGGTGTGCCTGAAAATGTGGTTTAGGGTTTTAGGGTTTAGGGCCAAAGCCAACCAGGCTCATGATTGAATCCCACGAAAAAGAAACAGATGGTGCTTTTTTCGCACTGTCTTTTTTTTTGAGATCTGAATAACCCCTATGACAGTCCTATATAATCCCATGTCTAATCCCCCTTTAAGGCCGAGCGACTTTTTTTTGGAAGCCATATCCTGTTGTATAGAGGCTTTGAAGGTCGGGGCTCATCATGCAGTCACGTGGCCTCAGTTTGGCCCTGGGTTAGCAGGGAATGAAGGAATGGACGAGAAAATGGAAACTGCTGTCGTTTAGGGTTTGGTGTTTACGGTTTAGGGTTAAACACCCTAAACCCTAAATCCTCGTTGCAGGCATGCATCCTTTGTCGATGGGGTGGACCTTTTCGATAACAAGCTTTTCGGACTGTCCCTCGCAGAGGTCAAGGGCTGGAGTCTCAGCTTGGGAGCATGGAAATCCTAGGTCCCCTTAAAGGGGTATATAGGGGTATATAGGGATATATGTGTGGTTGTCAAAATTATGGTCCCTTTTTTTGGGTACCCTAAATAATAGGTGCCGTATTATAATAGGGATCCAAAAAGGGACCATAATTTTGACAACCACCCATATAGGTATATATAGGGATACGTACATCATGTGTGTTTGCAAAACAGTGATGCCTGAAGTTGCCTAGGTATGGACCCTGGCCAGCGCTTGGTGCTGGAAACCACGTATGATGCCCTCTACAGGATAGCAATTATTGCTATTAGTACTAATTCTTACTGGTACCATTTTTGGTATTATTACTATGATCACATTATCACTGTACCGTTTCGAATGTGCTGATGCACTGGTTCTGTCCAGGAGCGGCATGAGGAAAAACACGCTGATCAACTCCACTGTCGGTATGTACGTTGATGCCCTACTGTTGATACTAAAAGTCCTGCATGACATTGGGATACTATATAGTACCACAATTCCCAGGGTTTACGGTACTTAAGGTCATGCAGGATTTTTTTCGAATGCACCGCAGCAGGGCAGTCTTCGGCAGATGCAAGCCTTCAGTGATTTCCTGTCATCAGGTGGGAACATCAATGAGTGAGTGGAACTCTGCGGAAAAAGCTGCTGATGCTGGGAACCCGGCACATTGAAAGTTGACTGGCCACCAGGATTTCTTGCCAAGTTTACTATAATCTCTCAGAGTAGTACTTAATAGTATACTTAATAGTATTAAAACGTAATACTAATACTTGCTAATACTAGTATCAACCTCTCATAATAGAGCTTCATAATACCAAAAATACTAATATTTCTTAAGAACTAATACGCACACTTTCTAATACTGGTAACGACTTATCATGGTACTTAATAATACTAAGAGCTGATACTAATAATTACTTCCTAATATTGGTAACAACCCATAAGGGTACTTGATAACACTAAGAGCTGATATTAATGAAAGGACCGGAGAACCCCACATGTGTAGTTTAACCCGAATTCACGTGAGCTACTATTAGGATACGGTCGCCCGGCGATATAAGAAGACGTGTATTTGAGGTAATTGAGAACGGAGCCATTTTCCGGCTTTCCTAGATTTCTTTCCTCCCGTTTGGGGATGAATTTCTCGGGCAATTCTAGAGGCTCAGACGCGGTGCGCTCTCTCATGATGTTTGAGGAGTTTTGGGCGTCACGATGGGCTCCCTCAGAATGTTTGAGGAGTTTTTTGGGCGTCAGTGTGCCCACTCTCATGATGTTTGAGGAGTTTTGGGCGTCACGGCGCGATCCCCCATGATGTTTGAGGAGTTTTTCGGCGTCACGGTGCGCTCTCTCATGATGTTTGAAGAGTTTTGGGCGTCACGGTGCTCTCT